ATAACCAAATATACAAAAAATGGAGGTGCCAAATGAAGCTTGTGCATTCTTTATAACGATGTTCTTGTGTTCTGTACCATCTGAATGACTTTTATCAAGTTTTATACAGATGCAGAATTCTTTTTTTGTACGGTATGTTGGCACAGAGAACGCCTCATTGTTTTGGGGAAGGGCAAATGTCACACTAACAGAGTTATCTCAGGAACCAAGTGAAATAGCCACAGGGCTGAAAACAAGAGTTTGTGTCCTTGGTTTTGGGAGTATTCTTCTCAGTTGCCAAGAGAAGGGATTCACTGACATTCACAGCCACTGTGGCATTTGCCTGTGGTGTGAGGAAACAAAAATTCATTTTTTAGGTCCTCTTCTCCATTCCTTTGTGCCCTTAGAATGAACTTTATGTCCTTAAACTCAGACGTGTTGGTACCTAGCACTCCTTTCCTTGGGGGCTCCAGGTCTGGTCTTTTCAGGGATGACATGGGCACTGAGTTCCCTAAAAAAGCCAGGAAGCAATGTTTTTTTTTTTTTATTGTGGACCTTAAATTCTGCAGTTTTCATGACATTTCCTCAAAATCAAGGTCTGCTTGTGAAAGGAGTTAACATGTTAATTGTTCCTCATTTATCTAAACTTCTCCCATTTAAATAATCAAGTAAAAATTTCCTTGGGTTTTAGGGTGCCTTGGTGGCTCAGTTGGTTGAACATCTGACTCTTGATTTTGGCTCAGGTCATGATCTCATGGTTCCTAAGATGAACCTCTGAGCTGGGCTATGCGCTGACAGCATGGAGCCTACCTAGATTCTCTCTCCCTCTCTGTCTGCCCCTCCCCCTCCTCTCTCTGCCCTTCCCCTGTGCACGCGTGTGGGCACACTCTCAAAATAAACATTAAAAACAATAATAAAAATAAAAGGTATCATGGGGCGCCTGGGTGACTCAGTCAGTTAAGCGGCCCACTTTGGCTCAGGTCATGATCTCACGGCCCGTGGTTTTGAGCCCTGCGTCGGGCTCTGTGCTGATAGCTGGGAGCCTGTAGCCTGCTTCAGATTCTGTGTCTCCCTCTCTCTCTGCTCCTCCCCTACCCATGCTCTGTCTCTCTCTCTGAAAAATGAATAAATGTTAAAAAAAAAAGTATTAAAGCCCATTTATTTTAGGAAAAACATTACTTAAACCTTTTGAACTTTCAGAAAAATCTACATGTTTCTGAACATGGGCTCAATTTTAAGTTCTACCTTAGTGTAATATTTGTTTCAGAAGTGAGACAATGAATATGTTATTGAGCCATAGGGGGAAAAAACCTCCTGATCTTAATGTGTATCAACAGCCATCAAACACATTCATATTCGGGGCCCCTGGGTGACTCAGTTGGTTAAGCATCAGACTCTTGAACTGTGAGATCAAGCCCTGAGTCGAGGTCTGAGATAACAGTCTGATAGGGATTCTTGGGATCCTCTCTGGGGATTCTCTCTCCCTCTCTCTCTGCCTCTCCCCTGCTCTCTATCAGTCTCTCTCTCAAAATAAATAAATAAACTTAAAGAGAAGACTTGCTTGGGTTTTATAGCTTTCCCCTTTTTGCAAGGAAATAAGGGAAATTGAAAGTTTCTGTATACCATGGCCACCCATGACCTGCATGAAATGCTGAGATTGTTAATGAAAATTAGCCTTAATAATATCGATACAATTTGGAGAGAGATACAGAGAGAATGAATCACTGGCTTGATTAAAATATTCCTGGGCTCTGATTCCATGTCCATCAGACAACCTTCTGAGGGCTGATTTGAGCTCTCAAGTGTCCTCGTGATAGGAAGAGAGAGCTTTGAACAGTGAGCATGAGGGTTTATTTGTGGAAACTGACATTCTAATTCTAAAATTAGGATGGAAATTCAATTATATAGAATTCCAAAGGACCTAGAAAACCAAAGCGATCTTTAAAGAACATTGTTGGAAGATATGTACTACCAGATATGAAGACTTACAATAATTAAGCTATAATAATTAAGAAAATATGGTATTGGTACAAGAATAAAGATCAATGGAAGAGAACAGAGAGCCCAGAAACAGACATTTGGACATAGTCACATGATGAACAAGAGATGGGACTGCAACTAGGGAGGAAAGACTAGTCTTTCTATCATTGGTGCTAGGTCAAATTGACATCTATATGGAAAAAAAATCAATTCTCATCTCACACTGTACACAAAAATTAACTCAAAATGTAGCACAGACCTAAATGTAAAGCCAAAACCACAAAACCTCCAGAAGAAAACAGAGGAGAAAATCTTAGTGACCTTAGGTTTGGCAAAGAATTCTTTTTTTTTTTGGCAAAGAATTCTTAAATAGGACACAAAAAGAATGAAACAAGGGAAGAAACTTGATAAGCTGGACTTTATAAAATTAAAAACTTTTACTTTGAGGGGCGCCTAGGTGGCTTAGTCCGTTAAGCGTCCATTCCCAGCCAGGTCTCATGGTTTGTAAGTTCACAGGCCTTCCATGTTTGGGTTCTGTGCTGACAGCTCAGAGCCTGAGCCTGTTATGATCTGCTCTCTTCTTCTCTCTCTCTGTGTGCCTCCCCCACTGCTATTCTCTTCTCTTTCAAAAATAAACATTAAAAAACTTAAAATAAGGGGAGCCTGGGTGGCTCAGTCGGTTGAGCATCCGACTTGCTCAGAGCTTAGTTGATCTCCAGTTAGTGGGTTCGAGCCTGCTCGCTCTTAGCTATCGTTCGAGCCTGGAGCCTGTTTCTGATTCTGTCTCCCTCTCTCTCTGTGCCTCCCCCACTGCTTGTGCTCTGTCTCTCTCTCTTTCAAAAATAAACATTAAAAAACTTAAAATAAGGGAGCCATGGGATTCCGGCTCGTGGTTCCCACCCTTGGCTCAGTCAGCTCACGGTTGTGTTCGAGCTCGTCCAGCTGGGTTTGCATGATGTTCAGACTGAGATGATCGTGCCCTGTCTCCCTCTCTCTCTGTGCCTCCCCAACTGCTTGTGCTCTGTCTCTCTCTCTTTCAAAAATAAAATAAATGAAATAAAACTAGGGGGAAGCGAGCTGAGTTCGAGGCTGAGATGACATGCTCAGGTCATGATCTCACGGTCGTCTCAGCCCGTCATGTCAGCTGGCCTGTGCTCGATGTTCATGAGCCTGACGTGCTTCTGATTCTATTCTCTCTCTCTGCCCCTCCCCTGTTCATGCTGTCTTTGTCTCGAGAATAAATAAACATTAAAAAAATTTTTTAATTAAAATAAATAAATGTCATTTATTGTCAATTATACCTTAATAAAACTGTTCAAGAAGAAACTTTCCCAGGAGGTGACACTACCTGCTTGCTCTCCTCCAGGATGTGAGCTTCTCTGGAGCTGGGTCCAACTCCCTGGAGGGCCATGCAGGAGGCTGAATTAATGGGGAGGCCTGTGGAAGAGGCCCTTGAGGTCAGGAATGCCAAGCTAGGTGATGGCAGTCAACTTGGGCGTGCTTGGCAGGTAATACCTTCCATTTTCCCAACACATGGTGCTTGTCCTTCAAACAGGCCCAGCTCATCCCTGCCTCCAGCCCCCAATCTTCATGTAGCTGAGATGTCCTCATCATTTAGGTCTTAGCATGGATCTCAAGTACCTTTACTGAACACCATGTCCTCAGGTCATTTTCTGTATTTCTCTATTTTCTTTTCCTTTTTTTTTCCCCATTGTATGCACCACAATTAAATTCTTTCTTTCTTTCTTTCTTTCTTTCTTTCTTTCTGGGGGGAGCACAAGTAGGGGAGGGGCAGAGAGAGGGGGACAGAGGATCCGAAGTGGGCTCTGCACTGACAGGCTGACAGCAGTAAGCCTGAAGTGGGGCTCGAACTCACAAACTGTGAGATCATGACCTGAGCTGAAGTCAGACACTTAACCGACTGAGCTACCCAGGTGCCTCTCACAATCAAATTCATTTAGTTATTTAAAAAAAAATTTTTTTTTAATGTTCATTTATTTCTGAGACAGAGAGAGACAGAGCATGAGTAGCGGAGGGGCAGAGAGAGGGGAGACACAGAATCTGAAGTAGGCTCCAGGCTCTGAGCTGTCAGCACAGAGCCCAACGCGGGGCTCGAACTCACAATGAGATCATGACCTGAGCCGAAGTCGGACACTCAACCGACTGAGCCACCCAGGCACCCCTCATTTAGTTATTTTTTTTTAACATTTAAGCTATCTCTACCCTCAACATGGGGCTCAAACTCATGAGCCCAAGACCAAGAGTTGCATGCTCTATCAGCTGAGCCAACCAAGCGCCTCTCTTTTCATTTTTACTATTTATCCTCTTCGTCTCTCCTCTATGCTGCTGGGGCCCCAAAGATCCCTTTTACTGGTGATGCACCCACCTCATACATGCGTTAAGTGCTGGCTGACAACTCACAGCTGCCCTGGCCAATACATCATGGGAAATGAAGGGTAGGAGAGAAGGGAAAGGGCGTTAAAAACTTGCTTTCTTGTGGTAAGGAGGCCTAACTGTGCAATTTATGCAGTTACCTATGGGATGGGGCTGAAACTAGTTTCCAACTGAGGCCACTCTCCTGCTTACTTTAGTTTGTTGCCCCGCCCTGCCCTGTTTCCCCCATCCCTTCTCCTGGAAGCACTTCCCCAATAAATCACTAAGCAAGAATTCTCATCTCAGTCTCTGCTTCCGGGAACCTGACCCATGACACCCAGACACTAGAAACTATCTTGTTTTTGTTTTATTGTTTGTTTTAGGGACTTATCTTGTTCAATCAGTCCCTTACATCAAATTCCTATCTCTGGCTCTGCTTCTAAACCTCCCCCCACACACCCCCACCGCACACTATAGTTTGATAAGAGAACATCTCCTTCACTTCTGTACAACCACGCCTGGAACACAGCAGACAATAACTGCTGAATATGGGAAGAGCCCAGGGTCTGTTTTATAGCTAGACTGTGTGCACCCCTTCTGTCCCAGGCTGGCCCAACCTGGAGGCATTGTGAGTCATAGCTGGTGGACAGCAGCTTAGTGGTTCAGGGATGGGGCCAGGCCTGGGAGAGCAGCTTGGCACCTCCGACACATCCTCCAGGTGAGGCACAACATGCAGTGAGCATTACTGGGAAAGGGCCCTCTGGGAAGACGCAGCCTTAAACATGGGCCTGGCTGCACATTTCAGGCTCTCTTTGGGCTTTCAGAGAGATGATGCCCTGAGCCAGATCTAGGGGGTAGTACCACCCCTTCAGCCCAGCTGTGTGCGAGAGGAATAAGTGTATGTTGGATTGATGAAGGCATGATAGAGTTCTATCCCTTTTCACCCTCCTGGAGAGAAGAGGAATTTAAAAGAGAACACATAGCCCTCTTCCCCTTTAATAGAGTCAGCACTTACAGGTGCTGGCGGAGACAGAGAATGAAACTTGTCTGTTATCTGGACTTTAGCTTCCTTGAGGATGTAGTCCACTTGGGAGAAAAGTCATGTGTAGTCTGCATAACCTCTATGACTTTGAATTCTAAGCATAGGTCCTAGCCCATGGCACAGGCCCCCAAGATGTCACTGAGCATAATGCACCACTGTCACCTACATACACATCTGGGTTCCTAGCTGGACCAGTAGCATCTTGAGGGCAGGCACAGGCTAAGAACCCCTGCCCAGACCAAGCCTGGCCCAGAGCAGTTTATAAAATAACTGAACGTGGCAATAATGCCTTTGTTTATTTTAGACATCCTACCAAATACTTTCCTGAATCCAGACCTAGCCCTGGCTTTGTCATCCAGCAGTGCCCTCTTATCCACAGAATGAAGTTTATGCCCTGGTCCCCTTTCTAGCGTCCTCTTCTATTCCCAGCCGAGTCCCCTACACAAACCCTACTCCAAACTCTTCCTTACATGGGGAACATGCAAGCTGTGCCTGGCTCTTCACTCTGCCTAGAGGTTCTCCATTGTCCACCCTCAACCTACATGGCAAAGTCCTGCTCAACTTTTAAGTACCTGTCTCAGCAATCCCTTCCAGCAGCCTGTCCTATGCTCAGAAAGCAAGGGATATGGTCCTTCATCCGCATTTTGTCTCCTGGGCCTGACACACAGTGGTCTTTGGAGAAGGTAGTTTCAGGAGATTGCTGTCAGTGCCAGTGTGCAGGGATGGGCTCCTCAGCGACCAGCACCCTAGTGCCAGCCTCAGAGCTAAGCCCTGTCCACCGATCCTCGCGGTTTGACAGGACAGCCTGTCCAAGCAGGCTGCTCACCCGGACTCTTGCTCCCCAGCAGTGCCCCTGGCTCGCCTTCATCATTCTGGACACAGGGCCTCCAGAGGCAAGGGCGCAGCCCTGGTCGCCCACGTCCTCGAGGCTCGGCACTGGGCACCCACGCGCCCCACAAGGTCCACTCGGTCCTCGCCCTGGAGGCCTTCAGGTGTCTTAGCTCAGGCCACATCAGCCGCCTGTGGGAGCAGCTGCAGCAGTTCTGGGCCGACCACTTCTCGCAGCGCTTCTCCCCGCGGCGCCCGCCGCTGCGCCGCATCTCCTCCATGTCCACCTTCTACTTGCTAGACCACCGGACGCGCCAGGCCGAGCTGGGCCTCAGCTACGGCGCGCCGCGCACTCGCCTGAGCGACGAGGCCTTTGTGTTCCGCGGCGGCCAGTGGACCACCGAGGGGCAGCCGCGGCGGTCGCGACCGCTGCTGCCCTCACCCAGCAACTCGGGCTGGAAGACTCAGGTGCAGGGGGTCAACAGCCAATTGTTGCTGGAGGAGAACAACTACCTGAAGCTGCAGCAGGAGCTGCTCATGGACATGCTGACTGAGACCACAGCGCGCATGCACCTGCTGGAGAAGAAGCTCGATTCCCAGGCCAGCCCGGCGTCTGGGGCGCGCTCCTGGCAGAGGAAGATGCGCAAACGCGAAGGCGCGAACGCGGTGCTCTTGCTCCAGCCGCGCGCTCTGGAGTCGCGGTGACGCAATAAAGCCCGTGCGGCGCACGCGCATTTCGCTCCTCGCTGCGGGCCCGGCGCCTTTGTGGGCAGCCAAGTGGGGTCGGCTTGGGCTCGCGACCTGCGGGTAGGGACCGTCACTTAGTGCGCGTTAGTGGACGGGTGACTCAGCCGGCAGCCCGTCTCGGGAGGGCGCGATAGGGCCGTGGAGGAAGGTGTGTGTGCGGCCCGCTGGGAACGCGGGGTGGGAGCCAGGCTTGCAAAGGGCAGTGCTAGGGGAGGGAGGAGTGGAGTGGGCGCGAGGATGGCAAGCAGGGGTGAGCAGTGGCGTTCTTGGCCCAAGGAACGGAGGACGAAGTCGGGGAGACAGTGAAACCTTGGGAGCTCAGCGATGCAGGGTGCGGTGAGGCGGTCAGGCGGAGAGGGTCGGGGACCTCGCTCTTGGCTCCCCTGGTTTAGAGGAGCGGCGCGGGCCAGAGGGTTTCAGCCTGAGTCCGGAGTATGTGTATTTTACGAAGCTTTCTCGAAACTGGGCCTCAGCCTCTCCCAGCTGCTGTGTGGCTTTTGGCGGGTAGCTTCTCCGTTACAGGTCTCCTTTCCTCCTCTGTAGAATAAAGGGTTTGTCTCACCCGGGGTGCAAACAAGCACTCTCCAGAGCTAAGCCTGTAACACAGATAGGATTTGCTCCACCCGCGTTGTTTAAAAGTTTTGCATTAGTTGTCAACATTAAAATTTTTTTAAATATTTATTTATTTTTGAGAGGGGGGAGGGACAGAGAGAGAGAGGGAGACACAGAATCCGAAGCAGGCTCCTGGCTCGCTTTCAGCACAGAGGCCGAGGCAGGGCTCCAACCCACCAATGAGATCATGACGTGAGCCAGTCAGTCGCTTAACCGACTGAGCCCCCCAGGTGCCCCTAGTTGCCAACATTTAAGAATTTGGAAATTTCATATTAAAAATCCAGATTTCCTGTGCTCTCAAAGAGACTTGGCCATCCTGGACCTTCATTTTGTCCTACAGCAGTGGCCTTGAGCTGAATCGTGGCTGTTACCTCCTGGTGAGTTTCACTCCTTTCTTCTGGTAGGTGTCTGATTTTGCTCTCCTCCTAGATCCATTTTGGATCAGGGACATGGGGGGTCTGCTTCCCCCAACCCCTATACACACAAAGTATAGTAGAAGGTGCTTCAGGGAGTGTGTTGTACTTGTGGTTGATGTAACTGCACAACAAAAGGTGGTGACACCAGTCCTTGCAATCTGTAACCTTTTCCCTGGAATGTAGACAGGGCATTTCAGCAACCACTGAAACCTGAGAGCATGGGCCCTTTTCCCTAGGGTCAGGTAATACCTGTGAGAGAAGTGAGTGTCCTGCCTCCACCTAACTTTCCTTCAGGAGTAGACTAGGGATTACTAAACAGCTACTTTGATAGATGTTTTTCTGTGGGTTTGTTTTTGTTTTGTTTATTTTAAATGTTTATTTTTGAGAGAGAACACATGTGCATGAGCAGGGGAGGGGCAGAGAGAGAGAAGGAGACAGAATTCGATGCAGGCTCCCCACTGTGAGCACAGAGCTGGAAGGGGGGCTCTATCTCATGAACCCTGCCAGGTCATGGCCTGAGCTGAAGTCAGATGCCAGACTGAGCTACCCAGGCGCCCAACTTAACAGCTACTTTGTACAAAGATGTGGACTTATTTATTCAATTAGGAAAACAACACAAAACATGTCATTAGACACTAAGTTTAAAACATTGTGAGCAGTGCTTTTTTTTGTATTTTAGTAATTCTGTGTATACATTAATGTAAATTAAATAAAAAATATTTAAAATAGGTATGATGAAATCAATTTTCCTTTTAAAATAATTAAGAAAGGGGTGCCTGGTTGCTCAGTCAGTGAGGTGTCCAATTTCATTCAGCTCAGGTCAGGATCTCATGGTTTGTGGGTTTGAGCCCTGCATCAAGCTCTATGCTGACAGCTCAGAGCCTGGAGCCTGCTTCTGATTCTGTGTCTCCCTCTCTCTCTGCCCCTCCCCTGCTCATGCCCTATCTCTGTCTCTCAAAAATGAATAAATGTTATGGGGCGCCTGGGTGGCGCAGTCGGTTAAGCGTCCGACTTCAGCCAGGTCACGATCTCGCGCTCCGTGAGTTCGAGCCCCGCGTCGGGCTCTGGGCTGATGGCTCAGAGCCTGGAGCCTGTTTCCGATTCTGTGTCTCCCTCTCTCTCTGCCCCTCCCCCATTCACGCTCTGTCTCTCTCTGTCCCCAAAATAAATAAACATTGAAAAAAAAAATTAAAAAAAAAAACAAAAATAAACATTTTTAAAAAATTAAAAAAAAGAAACATGCAGTAAAACGACTTGAGTTGTAGGGAAACAGCTAAAATCATAACAATGATCCAGGAATGCCTAAAGTTTAGGGAATATTGCTTTGATCAAAATACTTAACAATAAAGTAGCTGCGCTGGCAGACCAGAGCAGCAGGCAGGCAGGGAGCCCCATGTTTAGGGAGAGGCCATCCAAGTGGAGAAAGGGCCGGAAATAAATGCAGCAGGATGATATTTTGAGATATCTGACTTTGTTCTTCCTGCTATGGAATTTCAGCCCCTGACTGAGGCAGCCAAGTGTATTGCCCCAGGGAAGGATGTGACAAGAGCAGAAAGCTTGC